CTCTGCCCCGCGGGCCACGGCTGCGCGTCGACGAGCGCGGCGCCGGCGGCGTGCGCCGCCGGCGCGTCCGCGCTGGTGGGCGCGACGGCGTGCGACGCCTGCGGCGCGGGGACCTACGCGAACGAGACCGGCGCGCGGCGCTGCGCGGCCTGCCCCGCGGGCCACAGCTGCGCGGACCCGGCCGCCGCGCCGCGGCCCTGCGCGAACGGCACCGCGTCGGCCGTCGGCGCGACCGCGTGCGCGCGGTGCCGCGCGGGGACCTACTCCGCGGCGGCCGCGGAGTTCTGCGCCGTCTGCCCCGCGGGCCGCAGCTGCGCGGACCCGGCGCGCGCGCCCGCGCCCTGCGGCGCGGGGTCCTACGCGGGCGCGGGCGCGGCGGCGTGCGTCGCCTGCGCGGCCGGGACGGCGGCGGCGGCGAGCGCGACCTACTGCTACGGCTGCCCCGCGGGCTTCTCCTGCGGCGACGCGGCGACGGGACCCGTCGCGTGCGCGGCCGACGAGTATTCGCTCGGCGGCAACGCGACGGCCTGCGCCAAGTGCCCGAGCGGCTACCAGTGCCTGTCGACGTCGACGGCGCCCCGGCCCTGCCCCGCCGGGACGCGCTCGCCCGAGGGCGAGACGCTCTGCACGGCGTGCGACGCCGGGACGGCGTGCGCGCGGCCCGACGCGGCCGCAGAGCCGTGCGTCGCGGGCACGTACTCGTCGAACGCGTCGGCGCGCTGCCTGCCCTGCCCGCCGGGCTTCGCGTGCGGCGCGACCGACGCGGCGCCCGTCGCCTGCGGCCGCGGCTCCTACTCGCTCGGCTCGGCGACGGCGTGCGCCGAGTGCCCGCGGGGCTACGCGTGCCGGCGGGCCGACGCGGCGCCGACGCCGTGCGGCGCGGGCGCCTACGCGCTCGGCAACGCGACGACCTGCGAGAGCTGCGAGGCGGGCTGGTTCTGCGAGACGACGGACGCCGGGCCCGCGCGGTGCCCCGCGGCGACGTACTCGACGGCCCTCGCGACGTCCTGCGACGCGTGCCCGCTCGGCTATACGATCGTCCGCAACCGGACGGCCTGCGAGGCCTGCCCGAAGGGGAGCTACTGCCCCTACACGGACGAGGACCTCGCCATCGCCTGCCCGCGCGGGAGCTACAGCGTCGGCCGCCAGCACCTCTGCACGGCGTGCGCGCCCGGCTCCTATTGCCCCTACGTCGACCGGGGCGTCGAGTACCCCTGCGACTCGGGGACCTACAGCGTCGGCGGCCAGGCGTCGTGCACGCCCTGCCCCGCGTGCACATCAACCGCTGGTCTGGGACGTCCCGACCAAACTTTGGACTTCTCGAGCTCGGTCACATCGAAGTCGATTCGGCTGATTTTTGGACGGATCTATGGCTCTCATCGAGTTCTCGAAGCACGGCGGAAGCGCTTGTGTCAAAACATTCGAATACGCTCACATCGAAGTCGAGTTGAAGATTTGATTCGCACACAGGCCCTGCCCCGCGGGCTTCGCGTGCTTCGACGTCCGCGGCGAGCACATCAAGGCGTGCGAGCTCGGCACCTACAGCAGGGTCGGCGAGCCGCTCTGCGCCGACTGTCCGGCCGGGTACCGCTGCCCGTCGCCGAGCGCGCTGCCCATCGCCTGCGATGCGGGGACGACGGCGGTGCTCGGGTCGAGCAACTGCAGCCTCTGCGATCCAGGCTACGCGTGCCCGGACCCGGCGGCGCCGCCGGAGAAGTGCGCCGTGGGCTCCTACGCGGCGGGCGCGGCCTTCGAGTGCGAGCCATGCCTCCCTGGCTACCGATGCCCCGAGGGGTCCGTGAACGCCGCGCCGCTCGGGTCCGAGCGCGAGGCCGCGCGGA